TGCAAATTACTACTGGTTAACAGAGCGTGTAACAAGACATCAAGATAAAGTAATTTTATAGAGAGAGCACTGTTTGCAATAGATTGAAATAAAGAGTTTGAGCTCGATTTTTTTGCGTCTGAGTTTTGTTTATAACCGGATTTTTAGTTAGGCAAGCGAACTTGTTTCCTTAGCAAAGCGATTGCAAGAGTAACATGCTGAACGGAGATTGCGCTTTTATTTGGAAGATAGAATAGATTCTACAATCAGGGTTAAAAGAGCCCGGGCAAGTCTAGGCAAGCCTATTGTTCCTATTGAAGTATTCAAAACAACTATGACATCATAGTACCCCGGAATACATATGACATCATCTTCCGAAAATAACTAAAACCTGTCAAACGGGTTATACCGACCATGACATCATCAATCTAAAAATAGCACATGACCTTATCTTTATGAGATAACACAGCATTTTATTCATGAGATCAAGACAATAGCCTATGACGTCATCGGTGTTAATGTATTCCTGCTCACGCTAATGAGATTCCTGTTCAAAAAAGAGGAGTAAAACATCCCTCCTATACTACTTTCCTCCCTACCTCTCCTCATGTACCCTTCAAATGTTGTTTCTCCTGCCATACTAAACTGAACCCATGTATGGAATTCAGGAAAAATTTAGGTTTTTGCATTAGGATGTTTTTTCTAAAAACACTTTCATTGCAGGCTTGCTTTTGGAAAAAATTAATTCGAGCATTTATGATATTTAGTTGGTGTTGTTTGTCATATTCTTACAGCCCGTATACCAAGCAGCCACAGAGAGGTACTGAGATCACTTTTTTAACCTGCAAGCTCTTTCACTTTGGCTTCCCACTCTATCCTTTACGTCTACTCTAGAGATCGCTAAGAGACCTTGCGTGTAGGCTACCATATATTTGATTACTTGTACAGTGCTCTATTTCCTATTTCCATGACGACCCGTCTAGAGTAATTTTGCACATTTAAGACGTCAAAGGCAAACCAAAAGGTTGATCTCTAGTTGCCGTTGCCGTTCTGCATGGAGAGTAGACTGTTCCAAGCGTTCTGATCGTACGGAGGAACGTAAAGTAAAGACGCAAGGAAAACAACAGCGAGGGAACTGGGAAAAGCTTCGAGGAAAGGGTTGTTCTCTTTTCCTTTGCCTCCTTCCATTTTTCGCTCCGTTCAGTTCAGTTTCCACTGCTCTCTTCTATGTTAAAGAGAAGTGACAACGTGAAATATTTCTGTGTTTACAGGCTGCTCACAAACAACTACAAATTAGGAGTACAATAGTTCCTTTTTAATAGTCATGAGAAAGTGGTATCTTATTATTAAGTAATGACCTAATGTTGACTTTGTATGTTTTTTTTTTTCAACAGATCAGAAGCACCTTAGAAAAGACTCTTGGAAATATTGGACCATTTTCCTTCTGTGTGCATCCTGTGGGAACTATTATGGAACTTTAAAAACTGCAAACTTATTGTCGTGATGCAGGAAAAGTCACATCATCTTTAATGGTCACTGTTGCATTTGAGCTAACTTCTAGGAATTGGAGGGTCATCAGTTTCCTTTCTTGTCGTCAGTCTAGTTACTAAATGAGAGAGTTGCAAGGATTTTGCATAGGTACATAGCTATACAAAGCAGTGTAGACTCCCCCTAGGGGGACTGCCATATGAAAATGACCGGGATGCTTGTCATTTGGCTCAGGGGTAGAAATGGTAGATTTTGGACTTTAGGATGTTCAGGACAGAAAGCAATATTTTTATGTAATAGTAGTATCCATTAGTGTTGTGTGTAAGATCAATTTATGGGTCACCTTTCCGACAAACATCCCCTTCTCTTTCATAAGGTAATGCCCCCGAGTGAATACCGTTGTACAATTTACAAGCATCATTTGTGTAGCTATGAAAGAAATAAAACGCCTTCAGGTATTGAGATGCGTTGTTTATATATTATTGTCATCATAATTTTATCATTATATCATAGTTGAATGCGGAAGACGAGTTCCTCTTCTCTTTGAATAAAAACAAATCATTTTTCAGGCAATACTCAAAGTGATAATCCAAGTCGCCCATAAAGAGACCTTTTCGTTTAGAAAGTCCACGGGGAGGCTTCCTCCTTGCCCGTTTTGTCCGCATTTAATATCGGACTGCTTTTTTATAGAACTTACGAGACAAACCCTTGGTTAGGTAGATTTCACGGACGAACAAGCGGCTATTGCATCCCACAGGGGAGGGGAGAGTAGACTCTAACCTATAAAGGATGGGAGAAAAGTCCCGGGCATGCAACACAAAGTACTCGCAAAATATGATCGCTATAATAAGGTTTCCTTATATCGAGGTTCTTTTCCTTATATTTTGCTATTACTGGGGCGAAAAATGTCGTTCGTTTTTACTCATTTGTTTCTACCTGGGTCAAATTCCCATCCCAGGCTAATTTCTTCATAACAAGAAGACTTGACCAAATTTTGGAACCGTCTCTAGTATCCCCAAAAAAATGACGTCAATGAGACAGGATATTGCCAGAAAAAGGAATGGTGACTGAGAAGACGTGGAGACGAAGTTGAGTAGTGGGGCAGGCACAGAATGAACTTTTTCCATGCGGGGGAATTTCATTAACTCGCGGGAGAATACATTAACGCCGATAGCGTCACCCATTCCGTTAAGGTAGGATGATGTCATAGTTTATTTTTAGATGGCAAGGAGCAAGCGACGTCAGAATACCTTAGGGGTTGACGTCACCAAAAAATGTTGAGATCATAATCTATAAATAGAAAAGTGATATCATGTCCCTACTTGGTCATGATGATATCATATTTATTCAGGTAAGATGATATCATGGTATATTTTTACCTACCATTTTTTCTCTGTTGTTTCGAAACACATAATATGGTCCTTCCTCACCAAGCAAATCATTCACTAGACTGCAAAACAGTCGGTTTTTTTCCTCCAAATCAGTAAAGAAATCGGTAAAGCGTGGCGTAAGAGTGCTACGCGCGCGAACCGCGCGAGCCTCACCCGCCCTCTGTTTTCAGCCTCGTTCCTCACCTTTTGTTTGACTGCTCGCGCGTACTTGAATACGCAAAAATACGGACTGTTTTGCAGTCTAATCATTCACGAATTATTTATTACCGGTCAATTTATTACAAGATGGTTCCTAATATCGTTGTTGATTTAAGCGCTACACCTCGGCTGGCTGTCGATGAAGTGGAACAAGTTCAACGGCAAAGGATAGGAGGTCTTATCAACCATATCTTCCAATTGACTTATACCAATATGGTTGACGAACTAATTCAAGAAGAAAAGCTGAATTGCTGTCACGGCCGTGCTATTCAGCATCCAAGTCAAGGACAACATTCGTGTCCTATGATGGATAAAGAGGATTCTTGGTTGCATTACCAAGAAGATGTGTTAGAAAAATTGATTCGAATGCTGTCCTTCATGAATAATGTTGAAAGTGTTTGCAATGCTCTTGACTTTAAGCTTGGTCAGTCGTGATCAGTGGTGATCTTCAGAGTCGTGTCTTGCGCGCTATACATGCAATTCAGCTTTTCTTCTTGAATTAGTTCGTCAACCATATTGGCATAAGTCAATTGGAAGATATGGTTGATAAGACCTCCTATCCTTTGCCGTTGAACTTGTTCCACTTCATCGACAGCCAGCCGAGGTGTAGCGCTTAAATCAACAACGATATTAGGAACCATCTTGTAATAAATTGACCAGTAATAAATAATTCGTGAATGATTTGCTTGGTAAGGAAGGATCATTTTATGTGTTTCGAAACAATAGAGAGAAAAAATGGTAGGTAAAAATAAACCGTGATATCATCTTACTTGAATAAATATGACATCATCATGACCAAGTAGGGACATGATATCACTTTTCTATTTATAGATTATGATCTCAACATTTTTGATAACGTCAACCCCAAGGTATTCTGACTACACTTGCTCCTTGCCATCTAAAAATTAACTATGACATCATCCTATCTTAATGGGATGAATGACGTCATCGGCGTTAATGTATTCCCCGAAAGTTATTGAAATTCCCCCGCATGGGAGAGGTTAATTCTGTGCCAACCCCACTACTAAGTTGCGTTGGGTCAGCTTTTTTGAGAGAATAATCTTTCTTTCTTTACAAAGTCAGCGCCGCGGAGAAGAGTAAAGTAATACATGTAAATACAAAAGAGGCCCCGAGGACAGATTCCTGCGGGACACCGCGTTCCAGCAACAGACGTTGGGATGGTCTGGAATTTTATTTTCACACTGACGAACTGTGCGCGCGATGTTAAATATGACCTTAGCCAGTACAGCACAATTCCTTTCACTTACAAACGAGTAGACACCCTTGACAACAGGATGTCATGGCCGAGAGTATCAAAGGCTGCAGATAGATCAAGTAGAAAAAAATATACCAGAATTGTTCTTATCAACATCCCGATCTAAGATACGATCATTCAGTTGCCAAGCAACTACAGCTTTTTCGATTAGTTTAGACACAAATTTTAAGTCTGAGACTGGAAACTCTTCATCCCTTTTCTTGAGTTGGGGGTGATACTGCAGCAACTTTTAAAGCTTTTGGCATCGTACCATCAATGAGGGACATATTAATAAGCGAAGTTAGGGTAGGAAGAATCGTGGTTAGACATTTAGAGCAAAAGGACCACAAGACCTTCTTAGCCATAATCTCGACCTGATTCACATTAACAGTCTGAAAAGTGAAGAGCTCCTTAGAGTTTAAAAGTTCATAAGCAATCAGGGAGCTTTTCGACTTGTTGTAGGCCAGGCTGATTGCGGGTCGGAATTTCATTTCCACATATCCTGAAAAATACTTGTTTATTAAATGTGATGAGTTATAGGTCTGGTTTCGCCTGTAGAGTAGAATGTATGAAGTTTGTCCGTCAGATATGTATTTACCAGTGAGACAGTTTTTTCCGCACGGGTATGAGCCCCGGGGCTGGTTGTGTTGTGTGAGATTGCGAAGTTTGGCCCTAACTAGAAAATCTCTGAGGTTACTACTACGTCTATAATCTACAATGGGTACAGCTTTAAAGACGTTATAGCAACGAGGGGATGAAATAAGGATGTGAAAGTGTTTGCGAATACTGGATGAGATGGAACGAAGGGCTGGGTTGTAGGTGATAACGAAGGGAACACGTTCTGGTTTGTCCAGTATGGAAGTGTCATGGGGCGTAAGTGCTTCTGTTCGTGTGATATTGTTAAATCGTTGTATTTCCCGTTGAATGAAATAGCGATTATAGCCACGTTTGTAAAGATAGTCAATAAGTTCATTGGAAGTGAGTGTGAAGGTCTCGTTGGTTGAACAAATGCGGCGGAGTCTAAGAGGTAGACTGAAAGGAATAGCACGTTTGTTGTGTATGGAATGACATGACGAATGCAGTAAGCATTGGTCTTTGTCTGTAGGTTTGGTGAAAAAGTCAGTAACGATTTTGCCATTGTGAAGTGAGACGTTGACATCGAGAAAGGGGATGGATGTGAAGGAATAGTCGCATGTGAACTTTATGTGGGGTGAATGTCATTGAGAAAGGAAGTGACTGTGTTAAGATCCTGTGCTGATCGTGTCCATATCACGAAGGTGTTGTCTATGTAACGCCACCATATGAAGGGTTGGAAAGAGGCACGTGATAAGGCGTACGTCTCGAATTTGGCGAGAAAAAGGTTGGCGTATGAAGGAGCCATCCTTGTCCCCATAGCGGTACCATGTGTCTGTAAGTAATGTTTGTCACTGAAAGAGAAGTTGTTCATAGTGAGAATCATGCGTATGAGGTCACAAAGTGTTTCAGTACTGATGGATGAAGCGTTGCGGTCGCGTGTATTCACAGGTACCCCAAGCTCATGAGTGAGTTGCGTAACAGAAATATTATAAGAGTTTGTATGGAAAATTTATCGATGGTTATTTGGGGCATTAAAAAAAATATAACAATGCATGAAAACTTCCTACCTCGTATGCCCTCGTTATGAGTAATGTTAGTGCAAAGAGATGACACGTCTAGCGTGACAAGAAAAGCGTTTTCGGGTAGCTGCCTAAGATGTTTCAGTTTGTTAACAAAGTACCTTTTATGTGTCGAATGTATTTTGAGATGGTGGTCTACAAATTGTGAAATGCGTTCAGAAGGATTGCTGTTGATGGAAACAATGGGGCGGCCAGGGTTATGTATTTTGGGTAAAATGTAGAAACGTCCGTGTTTGGAGTTAGACTGTATCAAGAAACGTTTAGTGTTGTCGTCAAGGATTTTGTCACGAAGCATGCGTTTAACTTTGACCTGTACCCGTTCTTTGATGTCATAGGTAATATCGTTGTCAAGCGGTCTGTAGAATTGGTGTTGTTGAGTTGTCGTAAGCATTTGTTTATACCAGTCTCTGCCTCCATAATACCGTGGCTGATCCTTTGTCAGCGGATTTAATAACAATGTCGTTGCGTTTGTAAAGTGATTTAGGGGTGTGTCGTTCGCGTGTGGTCAAGTTGTGACGTACAGGTTCAGGTTTTATGTTGCGTAGCACGGCGGCTTTGTCAGGAGGTCCTGCGCGGCGAAGCCGCAAAAACGAGCGCAAAACCAGTGCGAACGAGCGGCTAAGACGAATATTCATCTCCAATCGGAACGATCCGTGCGCAGGCGTACAGACTACTCAAAAAAGGCCCCCGTCCTTTTTAGGCGGTTTCTCGTTGCTCCCGCCCCAATGTTCTCGCTGTTTCTCTGCCCTCGCCCGCCTTTAGTACTTTGCGCGCCCAACCAAAACTAGCCTGTGCCAGGCTCTCAGATACAGTAGTATAGTGGGGACGTATTAACATGAGTAAAGCGAAAATAAGACTTGCGCGACTTGAAGTCAGCTTTGACTTCAGTCCAATTTACATGACGGTGAGTGGGGCAAAAAGAGAGACCCATTTCAAGTAACTGGGTCTCGTCGTGAGTAAGGTTGATGTTGCTTAAGTGTCCAAATGAATGTTATGGTTGTTGTATCTCCAGTACCTGTTTCTGTTGAAACTTTTGCGTCGGCGTTTTCAGTTGCTCGTGTTGGTTGTAGAGTGATTGACACTGGTATTAATAACATTGTCGTTATCGTGATTATGTGAAATGTGTAGCCGCTGATTATCCGGTCCTTCTTTTTTTTTTTACAATAACACATTATTTCATATTTACACGAAAAGGAAAAGTTACAAAAATTGTAGAAAACTAGAAAAAAAGTAGCAAAATTACAATTTACAAAAGTTATTGAAAATTACAATTGAAATTATCTTTACCCTTATACGTCTTATACATGAAAAATCAGTAACTCTTCTATTTATTTATTTTTTTTAACATAACATAGTAAGGTAACTAACGAAAACTATATTTGCCAGAATGATTAATCATTGCACGTATATTATACGCACACGTATCCACAATGGCTTTAAAAAAAGGAAGAAAAAAAAAACAAACAAACAGACAGACAACTTAAACAGGTCAGTTAAAGTATCAAATCTTTTAATCTACAGAGCGCCGCCTACAGTTCACTTCCACAGAATAGTACATTCGTTTAAAAAGAGAAGGTTTTTAATCGAGACCATTTCTTTTTAAGTGTCTAAAGAATTATGGTCTTTTGCAATTTGCCCTTCTATTTCCACAGTGCGTTGAACTATTTGTATGGACATTTGGACATTTGGGCGCGTATCTCTTTGTTTA